CCGCTTTAACCCAAGAAGCATCTTCCTTCGCCACTCGTAGGATCTGGACAATCTCCGCAAAGCCACGGTCTTCAGCATACCACAGGGCCGTCCTCCCATCCATGCACTGGATCTCGGTATCGGCACCATGACCACGCAGGACCTCGACAACGTCAATATGCCCGTTGATCACTGCGCGTATAAGCGGAGTTCGACCCCAGTTACAGGGCATATTGATCGGCGAGCCATGCTCTAGGAGCAGCCGAACGGCATCAGCGTGTCCCTTGCCCGCCGCGAGGGATAAGGGAGTGAGCCCATTCCCCGATCTCAAGTTGACATCCCCGCCATGGAAAAGCAACAGGCTGATCACAGCCGTGTCGCCGCCCCAAGCCGCCCATGATAGCGGCGGGCGCCCACCATCAAAAGCCTTAGAGTCCGCATCGATCAACTTATCCTGCGTCGGACGCTGATCGTGGTCCTTCGAGTCCCAAGATGACCACGAGGGCGGGATATACGGGTACTTCGTATCCTGGATGTGTGGACTCGCGCCGAATTCTTCTATCAGGACTCGGACAAGCTCGAGGTGCCCTCTGCTTGCTGCTCTCGAAAGCGATGTCCGGCCGTACCACGAGGACGCGTCAACCTCAGCGCCGTGCCGGATGAGTACTCTGACCGTGTCTAGGTGGCCAAGGCCGGCGGCCCAGTTGAGAGCGCTGCGGCCGTAGTCGGTATCTTCGCATTCTATGTCTGCTCCTGCGCGGATGAGGACTTCGGCGGCAGCGCTTTGACCTTCGCCCGCAGCCCAGGATAATGGGGTTCTGCCATAGACGGCGTCTCTGGAATTGAGGTCGAAGGGGACGGTGCTGAGGCGGAGGAGTTCCTGGATGAAGAGGTGATGGCCTCTCTCTGCGGCGTAGGAGATTGCGGTGCGGCCCCGGTCGGTCTTGGAGTCTATTATATTGGGGAGCTGGCTCTTGAGGAGGGGCACGAGCTCTGTAGCACCTAGGTATGCTAGTAGATGGATTCCGGTGAGAGTGCGAGGTGTTGATTGGCTGTAATTGAGGTGTCTGTAATTTGGAGCCAGGAGGACTTGTCCGATAGACCTGACACGTGCCTCGTCTGTTAATAAAGATAGGATCAGATCTCGGGTTTCCCCGTCGATCTTTGTAGGAGAGCAATGGGATGGCCAGTGGTTTGAAGCGTAATCAAGTAATGGGTACTGCTGTAGCCTTGCCTCGAATTCTTCATCTGACTGACACAGATGGATAAATTCCTCCATGGAAAGATATTCAAGGCAAGTCTTCTGGATCTTCTGCTGAGCGTCCGGGAAGTATTCCTCGCGCATTCGATCAATGTACTCCTGTGCTGTCTTATGCACTAGCCGTACAGTCCCCTTTTCTTCTTCAAGTTCCAAGAGACCTGCACACACGGATATTAAAATATCTTGATCTATCACAGCTTCTTCATCGAGGTAAGTTTTCCCTGTCTCAACGGCTAGCGCTTGCTGTAGTTCTGACACGGTCAATGGGCGAACGGCACAGACTACCCAGGACAAGATTTCACGCGCAAGCGTCACATCTTCAGCGTCTTGCGACAGAATTCGTTCTAGGGCCTCGCGGTAGTTGTCTGAGATTGTAGAAGGCAGCGTAGATGCAGCTAGTCGGATGGCCTTTCGGTTTGACTTCTGGGCCAATGCCTCCATTTGCAATTTCGCAATTAGGAACCTGAAGAACAATCAGCTTTCACTTTAGATATCAAGTTGTCTAAAGGTAGCTTACATTCCCTGCGTGTTGTTGGCAACCTTTTCGGCAAGATCATCCCTCATCTCCAAGTCATCCGCCAGGATCTGCGTCAACCGAGCGTTCTGCGCCATGAAGCCCTTGACATACAGGGCAATGTCCTGCCGCTGCGCAACGATCTCGATTTTGGCGAAATCGCTCAAGTTGCGACTCGTACTTGGGATCGGTCGCGAGGTGACCAGCAGCCTGATTGATGGCTGGAGCGATTGTAACATCGTGATGAGAAGTTGACTCGTTGACTCGGATGAAGAAAGCTCGTCTAGGGCATCAATTACGATGAATGTCCCGGGCAATCTAGATGTCAGAGACTGCAAAAGAAGCAGATATTCGCTCGCCGTGGGCCTCGACATCTCTCTACTGTGTAGCTCCCATGAGGAGCGCACCTCTTGTGGTGCAGTCCCTAGTTTAAGAATTAACTGTTGCAAGAGACTCCCTAGAAGATTGACCAAGTTTTGAGTGTCCGTGTCTTTGTGGTTGCAGTAAAGGTACGCCAATCCGTGGGATGGAAATTTCTGGCGCACGTCGTTAATTATCACAGACCTGGTTCAATCAGTTTGATGAGCTGATAAAATTGATCGCGATTATACATACGCGAGAATAGTTTTCCCGGCCCCAGCTTCACAGAGTCAGCGGCAAATGGAGAGCATAGTAGATTGGCGGAGCTACTCACGTATTCCAAAACACCATACAGAGTTTGAGGAGCCGTCCAACCAAGCCTTGTAGCGTTCATCCTTTTGAATCCAGCTCAGGGTCCCGTCATGATATCGACTGAAGATATCCGAGTGGGTACCGATACTTTTCAATGGCGATAGCCAGTTAAGGATCTCAAGAGTCAGTTGACTCTGTCGGCGTCTCTCCTGCTCATCCCGTAAAGTTGTCACATTCTCCTGGATTGCAGTTGATAGAGAACTATCACGTGTAGTATCAGCCCTGAACCAGGAGGCCAAGTTATGAGAGGGAATGGTTACGCATTGTCGCTCTGAAGTACGAGAACGAGAATAGTCTTGTACCTCTCCATTGTCCTCAACAAATCATCCACCTCATCCTTACGGAACGGCCATCGAACCCTCCGGGTGAACCTCCTAAAACCGACACCAGGTTGCAGCCTATCCCACAGGGTCTGGAGACAATCCTTCAGTTGATAGAGGATACCATCCTCGCCGCACAGAGACAGGAACGCTTGTGGGAGCAGTTCCATCTTCTCCGCGTTTGCCTTCAGGATAGTCAGGCAGCCTGTCATGAGCAGAAGCTCGTTCAGGACTCTCTGGCGCTGTTCTGAGGCATCTTTGAGATTGCTAATGTACTGGGTGACTTTGTTGCTGATCGCCAAGAGACCGATTATTCCGGTGGTAACACTGAGCGGGTCCATATCTACCTCAGATGATGGGGGATAGGATAGGGGTGATAGGTGAGCCGAAGGCCCTCGGGATGCTCAACTTCGAGAGTAGGTGTGGGGAAAAGGTAATATATATATAGCCTTGTTGCCCCTCCTCTTCCTCTTCGGCGAGGCTGCAGGCAGCGGGCTGCTGTCAGCCTCACCTTCGTCGTGTGTGTGATTGGTTGAAGACGATTGTCCGGCAGGGACATGTGCAAAGGTGTATAGCGGCCTAAGGGCGCATGTCTGATCTTAGACTGACAGAAATTAAAATACCTTGAATTACTAAACCGTAGAAGATGGGTATGCTTATGCACCTTATCCACATGGCGCCTTGATGATGATGATGAAGAATTCATTAACCCGATGTACCTCGCTATTACATACATGCTGCTATGTGGGAGTAGCGTCCCCAGAGCCTGCTCTTTGACGACAAATGGTGGTGCATCCCCAGTTTACAACCACCCTGTAACTAGACAGGACTCGGTCTCCCGAGGTCCCGCCTGAATTGTAAGGCCACAAGCCGGCCGGCATGGCGCAAATTAGACAAGAAAATTATAAAGAAAATCAATTCCCGCATTCCCCCGCGGGCGCAGAGTGTCCTCTCTCTGCAATGCACCTCTCACTTCTTCCTTACTTCCTTCTTCCCCTTCTCTTACTTCTCTCCCCTTGGTTCCCTGAGTCACTGGGTCCCTATATCACTAGGACTGCTAGATCTATATCATATAGGTAGGTTGTATACGAATAGGTTTAGGTCGCGACGCTATACCTTATCGTCCTTGTCGTCAGTAATAGCCGATCTCTATATATATTAGTATAGGGTAATAATAGCCGACCTAGCGCTATACTTAGACTATTCCCGAATCCTCGAGTCTCTCATATATCCACTTAGGCCTAGCAGTGACCCTCCGGGTGGTCCATGATCTTGGACCCTCCACCCGCCCCTCCGAGGATCAGGGTCCCTCATGAGCGACCCTGACCCGACCCTGACCCTATGAATTTTGTAAAAAAAATCCCTAAATTGTCTCGACCATAGGCCTTTCCTCTATTCGACCGTCTATTCCTTTTATAACCCACTCGAGAAAAGCCCTATAAGTTCTGATGTCCGGCGAAATAACGACCTATAAATATAATTTGACAAAACTAGGGATAGAAGCATAATTTAGCGATTTGTTTCTCTGCTCCTAGGGCTGAGACTTACTCGTCAAAAATAAGTAACGTATGACTATAACTAGATTCTGTTTGTGGGTAGCTCTACCCGCTGGATTTCATTATTACTATACTCCCCGAAGTCTATAATATTGGCTATATATTTCAACGTTAGCCCATGCTTGGTACGCATTTTGCTCGTGACGAAGTGAGGTTGTAGTGATAAAGCGAGGCTAGAGAGATAAAAAAAACCCCGGATGGGAAAACAAGGGTACTTGTAGCCTTTTTGGTCACGATAGGAAATGTACATTTTGCTATACGGGCTGAATATTTAGGTGAGGAATATTCAGGTGGGTGAATATCTGCCCTGAGTGCCCTGAATAGAGCGGCGAGCCGCCCACACCCACCCGAACCGTGGGCGCTCGGTGACCACCACCTTAGACATGCTGTTGTATGTTTTTATGTTTTTGTTTTGACTGGGCAAAATCCTCTTTTGCCATATAACCGGCACATAGTGAGTGACACAGTCTTTGAAAGAATCTTCAATTTATTCAACTACATTAAATACCGAAATGACAAATAGAATGTTGTTGCGCTAATAGAACCATATTATTGATCGGAAGCAGGCTTGACAACATGATAGGAACTATTGCATAACAGTTATGAAGACCCGACTAGAGAGAACTAATCCCTCACAATTAAGTGCTAGCAACGAGAACAGCAGGGTCACCATTAGTGATAGAGACGCAGATCTTTCCGCTTTCGTCGGCTGTGATTGTCCCCTCTCCAAAGGTATTCTTCCACGTCCCACCAGGCTTCTTAGAGTCGAAGCAGTGCTCACCCTTAGATCCAGATCCACTGTTGGTCGTAAGGACAATGACGTCTCCGCCCGCTCTGCTCCACGCATATGCCGTGTCTGCGACGTACAGATGGACATGGTCGTTATCAGCGAGGCCACCAGCAGCCTTTCTCGCCGCGGAGAGCAGAGATATGGCTTTGTACAGGTCCGCGTCGGTGCTGAATTTACTGCGCCATAGGTCCTCGCGGTTTGCGGGGTCGTTGCCGCCCGCGTAGCCCTGTTCCGTGCCGTAGTAGACAATGGGGATGCCTCGAGCGAGAATGACGTAGGCAAGTGCGTTTTTCAAAAGCGACTTGTCATTCTTCACGCTCAGCCATCGCGCATTGTCGTGGTTGTCGATGAACGTGCCCAGAGTGGTGGGATCAGGGAAAGCGGTATCGATTTTACCGTGCATGTTAACTATCTCCTGGGAAGAGCCCTTTTGCTGGTAGAAGTTGTTCACGGGATAATAGACCGCGTAGTTGAGCAGGCCGTCCATGCCCTTTGCGTATCCGGCAAGGTAGGTTGGGTCACCGTCCCAGACTTCACCGATGGTGTAAACCCCGGCAGCGGAGGAGAAGGCCGACCAGAAGTCCTTTTCAACGTGTTTCACGGTGTCGATACGCAAGCCGTCGAACTCGTATTCTGCGACGAGCCATTTGATCCATTTCTGGAAGAGTTCCCGGATCTCGGGACTCTCTGTGTTTATATCAGGTAGGTCTGCTGCGATACGGCACTTTTCAACACTCTCCTGGTTTGAATAGTCAGGTGTGCAGGCGGCATGGTAGGAGCTCTCCTGGTTCAATGGCTCCGGCTTGTTCTCGCCGATGGGGCCTCCCATATGGTTGGCAACTACGTCTGCCATGACATAGATTCCCTGTTTTCGAAGCCGGTTAGTTACTTCCAACTTGGACCGGAGGAAACGTTATGGAATTGTACTTGCCTTCTCATGTGCGGCAGCAACTAGACTCTTAAGATCTTCAGCGGTGCCATAGTTCTCATTGACGCTATAGAGATCCCGTGCCCAATATCCATGATATCCACCCGGCGCATCTGTAGAAATGATAACGTGATTAGATAAGTTGCGTTGAGAATAGAACAGTCTAATAACTAATCGAACTCACTAGCGACAACAGGGGTGATCCAGATTGCATCAAAGCCCATCCCCTTAATATAGTCAAGTTTGGACTGCAAGCCTTGGAAAGTTCCACCGCAGTAGTTTCCAAGGTTGCCACAGGCATCTCCACCTGCATCATCGCTTCCACGGGCAATGCGATCAGTCAAGGCAAAGTAAATACTGCGGGACTTCCATGCTTTCGCGTCCGCCGCTGATACAGTGCCTATCAGGGGGAGTAGAAAAGCTGCCAGGGTATGGGACAGCTTCATAATTCAGAAGTGATGCCTCAAATTGTTGAAGATTGTAGTGAGCTTGTAGATGATTTAAATACGATATTCGGAGAAGCTGGCCTCCTTTTATATCTGGATCTTCACGATGTGCTCTCTACGCAGCCCGGCTCCGAGACTTTGACCTTGCCATATCCCTTGGCACGGGTTGCCAATCCTTCATAGATGTGGTTTCCCTCCAATATATTCCATCTATCCTGAAGATCTTTCCTCATACAGTTAGCTCCCCGATAATAGGCCGACGGTGCCCCTAGAGAAAAGCCGGGGCAATGTTTAGACCAGCCCTGAAACTCTGAAAGCGGGGGATCTGCACACAATTTGGAGTTAAAATGGTTAGCAAAACGTCAATCATACTCCAAATACAGCAATAAGTGATGATAATGGTCCATTGTCGGCCCGAGACACTGTGACTTTGGAGATGTTTCAGCTGGGCAAATTATTGTTATGGTTGCATACCATGGAATTACAAGGTATTTTCCTGAGAAATTTCTCCGATTCGAATTGCCAAGTGCATAATAAACTACTCCGTACACAGGAAAACAACTACCGGACTTTTGTTTTAGTTAGAAGTCATATATATTTCTTGGTACTATATTTCTCTCATTAATCTCCGACTATACCACATTTAGAGCCGTGGAATGTGTTTATTACTATAGACACGTACATACATGTAGTTATATAGGGGTAATTGTGAAACGGTCTACTATTTTTTGAACGTGTTACGTTTGTGTGATTACTGATATGATGCCCATACATTGGATCTCTGTAACTATTCAAAGCAACAAAAAAAACAAATACCAATACCACTTCCTCTGCCGAAACTGCAGACCCTTAGTGCAAAGTCTGCTGATACTTGCAGGAGGCTCTGCCCGTGGCTTACGAGGCTGCGACTAGCATGCCGAGGCTGTTCTAAAATGAATGTCCCTCTCTCTTGGTATTTCTGCTAAAGAAACTCCTTGCACAGAAAATTCTATCACCGAACATGTCTGGTTTTACGTGTACTCAATTCAACGCCCCTTGCATGGAAGCAGCTGGAAACTGTATGTCAAATGGGAAATTTCTAATGTGCCTTTCGCGGTACGGGCTGAAGATCCACCCCCTGATTAGAGCGGCGAGCCTCCATGCCTGAACCATGAGCGCTTGGTGACCACCGTCATCCACATGCTGCTGTGATTTTTTTTTTTTTTTTTTTTTTTTTCTTCAGGACTGACTGGCATTGTGGATGCTTCGAAACTAGTGGGAGTGGCGCAAGCTAAGTTATTAGACTACCCTTTAGAACAAATTATTCCATAGAACACAAATAGAACATTAGTTACAGTATTATCAGAAAAATCCCTAAGTGAAAAGTCATCCAGATTTATGAGATGCCCCAGCATGAAGTTGTAAGGTTATACAGACCCTTCTATTAAGTACCCACTGCCCATTTCCCCACCAAAACTGACCGAGTTTGAAGTCTATTCTCTCGATGAATTTATTTTGTAACCCATTTTTATTTTTTTATTTTTTATCTTGTTTATAATTGAAAGCTCGATATAATATATTATAAAATTATATCCGTAGGTACTTCTTCATAAAATGTGGCCAATTTTCAAAGTCATGATAGAGATTCTGATCGCCAGTTTAGTATGGGAGCCATTATATATAATGACAATTTATCTTGACGTTTGGAATTCAATTACTTACTCAACAAATATATATATTGGACTATTCGGAAAGAGATATCCTACTAATGTTATAAAGGCCTTTTATTGAAAATTACTAGAAAAATAATTACAATATAAATTTATCGAGAGAATATGGTTCAAAATTGCTCAGTTTTGGTGCGAAAATGGGCAGTGGGTAGATACCTAGTAACCGCTATGATATAGAAAAGTTGCTAAAAGCCACACTTTTTTTTGGCGTTAGCCTATAAAACTGATGCATATAACGAATGGTGTCTAAAAAAAAGCCATTGAAAAGACATTAGAAGGCCGCATGAGCCGACTATTCTTACTAAAATACATATAAAAAAGTCCATCTTATAGAGCCCTTTTCCTTTTCCTTTTTTACCGTCGAGGATAAAAATAAATATATATCCGATAAACTCATCCCTACTGTTTGTGCTATTTGCCAGACTTGAGATCTTCGCCGGTTCGCCGGTCTGCCTGCTAGATTTACAAGGTATACATACTCTGCCCATTTATAGAGTTTTACAATATCTATCCTTCTTCATTATCTCTCTAACATCAATACCTTTTTACGACCTACGGTATACCGCATATTAACCCACGCAAGTCTATGACATAGTTGCTGTTGGTATAAACATACGTGTACACCAGTACAACGACCACTAGCGTTCGTGCGATCTTTTACCTTTCACACTTGAATACACCCTTCACGTGTCTCCACACGTGGAACACTTTTTTTTTCCATTTTTTTTATTGTACTTCACGCAAAGGTTCGTGAGCTCCTTCATATATCCATCACATTTTCCTTCTTCTGATGGATCTGATAAGTCACAGTGCACCAGTTCCTCCCATTGCAGTCTTCTTATGGTTCTAATATTTTTACATATTCCAACTGATCGGATGAAGGATACCAAGTGTTGGCCCATCACTACTCTAGGCGAGGTACCCTAATACCCCTCGATTTTTCAAAATTCTCTGTTCTCTATTTGATTTTCTGCGTGGACAAGGTCAGCTCACATTTGAGATATATACAGAATCGGAATACCGACCTGATTCCTTCTGATATCGCTGCAGGCATTACAAACGAAGATGATAAGATTTTCACTTTGATTCCCTTCCTAGGTCTGGCGTTGGCAGTGAGAGCGACATTGCAGGTATTAGTACAATCCTGTTAGCACTCGACAAATGATTTATAAAGCGAGGAAAGATTTTGAGCTTACCGTAGGACTCTGATGAAGTCATTATAAAAAGTGTAGGTTAATCGACTTCTATTATTCCGACACCACGGGTTGTATGAGAGAGACTGATGGTTTGAAATGGCTTTAAGGTCTTATAACCTTGTCCATATCGATCTCTTTGCCATCACTTAGGACAGGCTTTGAAAATTTCATACAGCATATGTAGTACTAGTGGGTCTAATAGTGGAGTCGGAATTGAAGTGGAAAAGTAAAGTGTTTGTGATTATTGCCAGTAGATATTGGTCCTGTGTCGAGATTCCCGAGGTCTTACGGCTATCGCCCCTACTTAACCTTCCAATTCTTGCCGTTTGGGTCTCTATCTGAAATAAAAAAAATAAAAGACCTAGAACATAGAAGACTTATATTTTAGTTTATTAAACTACTATATGATCCATATATGGGGTCATAATATGGGGTCATATATAAAAAAAAGTGGACCTGCGCGGGATTGAACCACGAATCTCCGAGGAACGACATGAAAACTCCCTAGAGGGATGTTTACATAAGCTCGGCGCCTTAACCATTGGGCCACAAGTCCTTTGTCGCAAACCCGTCGTTGCCTTTCAGAATTATAAGTTTACTACCACCATATACCCTCTCCTCACAAAGCCTGTGCTTGGTATGTACAAGCATCTAAGGCATAGTCTCCAATTTCCAACAATATTCTGCGAATGCGACCCAACATGGACCAGGCATATTATTATTCAAGAAATTAAGAAATA